TCGCGGTCCATGAGACTGCAGAGCCTGTAGATGGGCGTGTTGGGTAGAAAAAAAATACTATATATTAAGAAAAAGATAAGCGCAGAAAAACATACTTGTTGATAAGTTCTGTGCGTTGCAATGGACTCAGTTTGCGCCATTCGGAGTTTCGATGGAATGCTTTTTTTGCAGCAGCCACGGCCAAGTCCACATCAGCCTGCGGGCGATAATACAAAAATAGAAAATTTGCACTTATAATTTGCATTATTGTTGAATAAAATGATTTATTTATTTAATGACAATTAGTTTTATGGTCAGCTATTAGAGAGCTTTATAGCTTCTGCACACTCACCTTATCGCCCTCGGCAACTTCGGCTATCAGCTTACCAGTGGCAGGATTGATAGTTGGAAACTTCTTACCAGACACGGCGTCGACAAACTCATTGTTGATAAATAGCTGTAAGCAATAAACAGTTGAAATAAGGAATAACTTAGTATTTAATATTATATTTCAATATTAACAGATAACGCAACTTTTGTATGGGCGACGGCCAATGACAGGCCTTGAAATGTTTTCAGTGAAGCGTAAATATTTCTTGCGGGACGCATCGAAAATTAATTTGTATGTACATATGTATGTTTTTGCACATATGAATATATAAAATTACAATTATGAAAAGAATGTATGTAAATAAAAAGCTTACTTTGTTTGAAGACTATTCACAGTCATAATCTATACATAGCATAAAGGAAAATCGACACGACAAGGGAGTCGACGACGGAGTCGGAAACGTCTAAACAAAGGTTACTCAAAAACGCTCGATGCTCTTGGGTGACCAATGAACTAACCCAAAGAAATTATATTGACCGAATCACCATCAGAGACACCCTGCCGAAACACAACGAAATCGAATTATTTTTGAAGCGACTCTTTATGGGCGATAAAATATTGTTCAAATACGAGTATAAGCGATCGTTGCCAAATGCCGACGATGACTCTATACAAACGACTTCAAGGCCGAGATTGACGTCTAATAACGTTATGTTGAGTGTTTGGTGGGATTGGAAGATAATTTTTCATTATGAACGATTAATTCGGTCCACTGCTGATCACAACTGGACCGTTTAAATGAGGCAATCGAGAAAGAGCGATCAGAATTGACCAACAGAAAAGCAGTAATGTACCATCACGACAATGCCAGGCAACAGACATCTTTGATAACTCGAAACGAATTGACGATACTTAGTTGGGAAGTTGTAAAGGCCCGTCCACATAGAACTTTGGCGTTGCGTTGGCGTTGGCGTCGCACAGTGGTCCAATGTGCAAAGCTAGGGTAATTTAATGACATTTTTTGTTTGTAATTTTTCAATAAAATTTTTATCAAATATGCAAGAATATTGTCTACTTAAGAGTAAATACAACTTTGTTTGAAAAAATTTGGCTACATATAAACATAACGGTATCCAAAAATCATAGTAAGCAATCAGTGAAAAATGAAATTGTGCATGAAACGAAAACTGAGTATTTTTTAGGGCTCAATAACTTGTTTAAAGAAACTTTGTTTTAACTTCATTTCTTTCTCCGTCATTGTTTCAAGTAAAAAAATTCAGGAAATGTAAAAATTATTTCCGAAGTGGACGCACATATTTTTTTGGAGCTGATAAAATTTTAATCTTTTTGGTGAGTACCAAATTATTATTATTTTTTTGTTTTTGTAGAAGAAATCTTTCTTATATGGCGGAATATAGATCACTTACTATACTTATTCTCTCAACTGATGTATATACTAATAGAATCCACAAAAAAATGCTGCGGCTAGCTGCGGCACCCATAAATTTATTTTCAATTTTCAAAATGACTCCTAAAATTTCAAGACAGGAAATTTTTGATTTTTGACTGACGACCACTAAAAATGAAAGACTTGATGGAATAATAGATTTTGTACCAGGGAATATCAGTTTAGGATCTAGTCATAGAATCAAATTTGTAAAATTAAAATCATACGTGCGAAGTTAATTCAGAATTTGGACCTAAAGTGAACAAAAGTTTTCCGAAAAAGAGAGCGGTTTGTTACTGCAAATAAAGATTGGCTCGAATTTGAAATAGACTTGTCACGATTTGTGTGTTCTAAGTTTGGTAAGCCGACATTTTCTGCTGGTAGGACAGCTAAAAGTTTTGAAGATTGTTGCTAAAAAGTTAATATGAAGAAAGCTAATGAGCTTTCGAAAGTTATCGAACCAGATGTATTTCTTTTTGGCTACTGAAGTAAAAATGAGATCTTCAGCTGCGCTACTTAATGAGCTTTTAAGTGCTTCTCCAGAAAGAGGTACTGCTATTAAGAAGGTCATATTGGCAAAGAAGAGTCCCAAAGGTATTTCGCCTGAAGAAGCTCTCGCACTAATAACACCGGCACTCAAAACAAAATTAGTGTGATGTGCATTTGACCGGATCTACCTATGGTTATGTATTTCGACCCGCAGAATCCGAATTTGAATTCAGTTTGGCCAATATACCTCCAAGATTTCGAGAAAACTTCAAAAAACCGTTTTTTATTGCCGATTTTCACTATTTTTACGTTTTTTTTTTTGAGATTTTCTCAAAATTTAGGAGGTATATTGGCCAAATTGACTTCAAATTCGAATTCTGCGGGTCGAAATACATAACCGTAGGTAGATCCGGTCAAATGCACATCACACTAATTTTGTTTTGAGTGCCGGTATATTCGACAAAAATTTATCAAAGCATTAGGCATGGGTAACACTGCGCTGTGCGGCGCAATTACGTAACACCGTAGCCGGAATCGCCGCGCCAACACCAGTATATGGAAAGCGCCAGCGCCATTAACACCAAGCAACACATGAGGCACCAACACAATTCGCCTTTGAAAATTTACACGTACTTTGTTTTTGCTTTTGAGCGTTGAGAACGCAAATTTAAAGCTTTTACTCAAGAATGATGAGAATATCGTGCCATTTACTACATTCCTATCAATTAAATTTGGTTGGCGGTACAAGCATTGCTCAGCGCCGAAAATTATAGAAATAATAGACATGACACCACTGTATGGTGTACTACACTGTATGACGATGGGTACTGTAGTGACACTCAGATGGCACCGTGTTCAATTCAGTACACTGCACTATTGCGCTGAGTAAGTGCGCTGACACCACAGGTGGCGCTGGCGTTATTAAGCTAGCGCCAAAAAAATTGCGCTATTACCCATGGCTACAAAGCATCAGTATCGTTTACTTACTGAGAGCCATTTTCTAATGTAAGCAGTAAAGTTGCCTTCACTAACTGGGCAGATAAATTGTTCCTCACTTTAAAGTGTTTTGGTTTTCTTATCTTACCTGTAAAAATAAATTTGTTATTCCGTAGAGTGAAACTTCACTACATCATTCGCCATATAATTTCAAAGGCTGACAATGCACCATAAGTAAATATAGAGCAAGAGCAACTGTTAGCAAAAACCAAAACCTTGGTTGAAATATCTAGTATATCTGACTCATGAACCAAAACCGAACCAAAAATTAAAGTTGGGTACACATTTTTAGAGGTTGCTCGGGTGAGCAACAATTTATCAATTCGAGTAATTAATTCGATGATGATAAAACGAAAACTCGTATATCGAGACGATAAAGTGGCCGGTAATCTGAAGGTTAGATGAGGAAACGGCCCTAAAAGTTGTTAAGCTTGATCTGACTTTTTAGCAGTTTTTTATTTTTATTTTATACGTATATTAGGTGACTGATTCGGATCCGGCGTCAATACAGTATATACATAACGGACTTTCTATTTTTAATTCATCCCAAATGGTTAAAAAAGTTTTAGGTATGCAGGTATCTATAACCGTGCGCAAGTGCTTAAAAAATGTACCAGAAATTGGCGAAATATTTAGCGATTTTTTAATTATATGGTTGGTAGGCGTGGTCGCAATTCGTACTTGCCCATTTTATGAGCAGAAGTTGTTGGTCATTCAGACATAATTTGTGCGAAATTTCATCCCGATATCTGTCTTAGTTCTTAGTATAATAATTAAATTACCCTAATAGAGCCGATTGGACCACTGTGCGTCGCTTCAACAGCTGACTATGAATACATGAATTCAAATGCAGCCGTCCACATAGCCAAAATTCGGTAACGCTCACGCCAACATAAAACAAAAAGATGGCTAACTCTCATCTTTTCGCGTGCGTCGCTTGTCAGCTGTTGCAAATAAATAAAATTGTGTGAAATATTTTTATTTTTTAATCAAGTGCGGGCAAGAAATATCGTTTTCAGTGCAATTATTGATATGAAACATTAATTTATCTGTCGTTAGTATGTTAATTTAGTGGCCCAAGCATTCGCTGCCATGCGTCCATTGTAGCAAGCATACTTTTAACTTGCGTTCTGTCAAACCAACGCCAACGCCAAGGCCAACGCGAAAGTTCTATGTGGACCGGTCTTAATGCATCCCTCGTATATTTATTCCGGACCTTGTATCGGCTGACTTCCATTTGTTTCGGTCTCTGTAAATTTTTCTTTATGGTAACAAATTTGCCGACTAAAGAGCCGGTGAACATCATTTGGCCAAGTTTTTCGCCGCTAAACCACAGAAGTTCTACACCGATGGACTTTTGAAGCTATTTTTCCAAACTTCCTAAAATTAGCGTAAAATCAACAAAAATCCTCTAAAAACACATTTGATTGGCGTATAGAAAAATCCAGTTATTTAATAATCCTTACTAATATTACAAATCCGAAAGTGAGTTTGTTTGTTTGCTACGCTTTCACGCTTTAACTACTCAACCGATCATCATGAAATTTTGTACACTGCTGTCATTTAGCCCAACTTAAAATATAGGATAAATTTAATCTCGATTAGACAAGGGGGCGTGGCACCTCCCATACAAACGGAATATTTCATACTACATTTCTCAGGAAATATTTTTGATAGATTACTGGAACTTGGTATGGAGATACATAAAATCATTATCTACTCATGGATGAGAGCTGCCACCTTTTAAAAAAATCAAATTCAACTGTAATTTATTTGAAAATTATATTAAAAAATGGATGTCAAGAGGCTTAAAAAAGCTGTATATTTTGAAAAGGGTTGCCACCTGTTTGAAAAGTCAAATTTAAATTAATTATACGCAAGCTATCTCAAGAATTAAAAATACGCAAGCTATCTCAAGAATTAAAATATGGTTGTCTAGCGAAATATTGTTAAGAAACCTTTAGTTTAAAACTTTTGAAAAATTTTTTCAATCTTTCGCAATGGTTTCCACCTTTTTAAAAATTAAATTTTACAGTAAAAGGCGCGCAATGGTTCTGGCGGTTGATTTATCGGTGGTGNATACGCAAGCTATCTCAAGAATTAAAATATGGTTGTCTAGCGAAATATTGTTAAGAAACCTTTAGTTTAAAACTTTTGAAAAATTTTTTCAATCTTTCGCAATGGTTTCCACCTT